ATGACGCCCAGGGCGCTGTGCTGGACTGCAGGTCCTGAGCGGTGCAGGGCAGTGGCGCTGGCCCTGGGGTGTGAATCACAGGAACAGGAAGCACCTTGTTTCCTGCACATCCTCTCTGCACCCCCACACACACGGCAGCGCTCGCCATGGCAACAAGATCCACAGCAGCCTCCTTTCCTCCTGTTTATAGTCCAGAACCCTCCCGTCTCTCTCCACCTGCACACATCGCCGACTCCCTCCCTTCCTGTACTTCCCACAGTGCATCTCTGTCACCTTTTTCTCCCAGCCTGTCCTCTCTGGGCAGAGTCTGTGGTCACTGGCCCTGTCCTCTCTGGACACCCAGGTCTGCCTGTGTCCGGAGTCTGTGTTCACTGAGCCTGTCCTCTCTGGAAACCCAGGTCTGCCTGTGTCCAGAGTCTGTGTTCACTGAGCCTGTCCTCTCTGGAAACCCAGGTCTGCCTGTGTCCAGAGTCTGTGGTCACTGAGCCTAACCTCTCTGGGCAGCTAGGTCTGCCTGTGTCTAGAGCCTGTGGTCACTGAGCCCCCCTCTCTGGACAGCCAGGTCCACCTGTGTCCAGTTCCGATGTCCAGGCTGTGGTCACTGAGCCTGTCCTCCGGCAATGTTTCTCCTGGCTGCCGCTCTGGCGAGGTGCACGGCCCGGGTGGTGTTTCTGTCTCTTTAAAGAATCCCGCCCGGCGCGCCCCCCAGCAGCCGGGCCCGGCGGTGACGTCAGGCGGGAGCTGGCGAGCCGCTCGAGGCAGGAGCGGCGGCAGCAGCAGCGGCGCTGAGCGAGGAGGGGGGGCCGCACGGAGACGCGCACTCGGCCGGCCCGCGACCTCTTCTCTCCTTCATCATCCTCTTTCTCCTTCCCCTTCGCCAACACCCAACCGACCCCCAGGTCGCTATTGAAATCCCCCCCTCACCACCACCACCCAACACCAACATTTCACGCCACGCTTCCCAGGAGCCGAGGTCCTCCGCCAGCCTGCCCGGACCAGCCGGAAAGAAAAACTCGGAGCGAGAGAAAGTTGCCGTCCGCGACAGACGAGCCCGAGCCCCCTGTCGGAGTGGGTTTTCCTCGCGTGTCCCGGACTCCTGGAGCCGTTCTGAAAACTTCGCTTCGCTTGGAGCCCTCCCCCTGTTGAATTGATATCGTGTTGGTCTTTTTTTTTTTGCTGATTGGTACTTTTCCTGCGTCTGTGGACTGTTTTTATTTTTTTGCTGTTGTCAAAGGACACAGCGCCCCCACCCAGTCTTTTCCTGCGGTTTATTGAACAACCCCCCACCCCCCCCTCGCAGCCCCGAGTGCCGCGGCCCGGCCCGTCCGAGTGTGATGAGAGGGGTCAGTACCACGGTCGGAAAAGGGGGGAGGACCAGAAAAGTTTTAAATTCCCGTTTCGCCTGTTTTCTGGAGCTCGACACGTAAAAAGAGAAACAAGCGGCCGGACATGGGCAGTGTACGCGTGGAGTAAACCTCCGACACGCAGGAACAGGAGGGAAGCCGGCTGTGGCTGCGCCTCGCCTCGCCTCTCTCTCGTGATTTTAAAGGGTAAGTGGTAACTCCGTGGTCGTGTCGTGAAAGGGTTGGTCTGTCATTATTTTTTCCGCAAGGTGCGAGTGGGTTCCCAGTTGGGGACATCCTCCTAAAAAGAAAAACTTCTGTACCGAAGACCTGTTGAGTCTCCCCCCGTGACCGTCACCGGATCCGTTCGGCTCTCCCTGTCCACCCGTGTCCGTGTCGGACGGTGTCCGCGGGGATGACCGCCGCCTGAGCAGTCACGTGCCCGTGCCAGGCGTGTCATTCCCGGTGGTGCCCTCCAGCGTCCCACGGGATCGGCAGTGAGCACGCCAGTGGGCGAGGCGGCAGACAGCCCGTGGATCTGCGTGACGAATCAAAGACACTTCACCGCCTTGCCAGTGGTCCAGGCGTGGACTGGATCTTAAATCAGGAAGCGGGGATTGACACAGAACCCGAATCTAAATCCTAGCGGTGCAAATGCGAGTCTGTGTGTGAATATACAAGACTGGATCTGTATAGCAAGATCGATCCTGTGTGTGAATATAGAGGGCTGGATCTAATTTGGATCTATAAAATCATATCGACCCTGTGTGTGAATATACAGTGCTGGATCTAATTTGGATCTATAGAATCATATCCACCCTGTGTGTGAATTTACAGGGCTGGATCTAATATGGATCTGGTCAATATGGATAGAACCATATTGACCCTGTGTGTGAATATACAGGGCTGGATCTAATATGGATCTGTTTGACAATATCAACCCTGTGTCTCCAGCCCTAGTCCTGGGCAGCCAGAGCAAAGCCAGCAGCTACTGGGAGTAAATGATCTGTGCTCAGCTGTAGAGGTGCAGGGCCTGGTTCTGGAGGTCCACACACCTGGCTTTTGTTCCAGCCCAGCTCTCAGTGATACAGTCCACCCCTTAATTGATTTAACTATCCAACAGTTGGATGAATCCTGCTTCTTTCAGCTCTGAAACGTGTCAGAGGTCGCCTTGTGACCTGTGCATTTTCGAAAGTAAAATCAACTGACCACACTGCCGAGTAGGAAACTTTTGCCATTTTCCTAACGGGTTGCTTGAGTGTTGAGTTAAGGCTTCAGCTGGGTGAGGGGGCTGGGATGCTATGAAAACTCAGATGTGTGGCCCTCCGAGATGCAGGATTAGAGACGCCTGGTTAGAGATCATGCGAATCCCCCCTGAAGACCCTTCAGCCTTCAGTGGCCAGACTTGCCCAAGTTGCTGAGGAGATCTGGGGGACTGACAGGAGTCTGGGACCAGGAGTGGAGACCCCGCTAGGCAGAACGATGGCAGTCCTGGGGGGAGGGGTCCCTGCCTCTCTGAGCCATCAGTCAGCAGTTTCCCAAGCATGTCCGGAACGAACCAGCGACAGTGAAAAGAAGCCCCCGGGGGTGTCCCATGGCTCTGGAGACTCGGGGACGTCATGTTGCAGAGTGTGCGAGCTGGAGAGAGAGTCGGATCCTTTTCTCCCGCGGGTGGGCCGCGGAAGGGGAAATGACACAGGGCGACAGATGAGTAGGTCACCTCGAAACAGGGGGCTCCCCGCCCTTGTCCTGGGAACCTCCACACTTACCGGGTTTTTTTTGTTCCCGCTGATCTCTCAATTACAAGACCATAATGGATCCTCTGATTGTTTCGGAACAGGAAGCACGTTGAAGATCTGTGTTCTAGAAATTGGTTAAGGATGTGATAGAGGAAAGCCTTGTCCTCTCCGCTGCACTGTGTGCAGTGACTCTCCTGTTTTTAAAGATGGGGAGCCCTCACAGGCCGGCAAGCAGTTCAGTGTTTTGTCACGCAAGGGGATCTGTGTGGCCTGAGGGCTGGCGTTTGTGGTCAGGGATTCTGGGGAAATGGGTAATTCCGAGGTGCTTGCAGACGGGCGGGGCGTGCCAGCTATCTTTAGCGCGGGGGTGAGCTGTGAAGTGTGCGCAGACTGCGGGCGGGTTCTGTCCGCACTGGGATCGGCATTGTGACAGCTGGAGCAGTGGCTGGCTGGGACTGAGCGAGCATTCATCCTGCATTCCTGCCCCGGCCTGCCGCGCGCCAGCGGCTCTGTGTGTGTGTCTGTGTGACTCTGCGTGAGTGTGTTTGTCCCCGTCTTCTCTGTGTGTATGCTGTGTGTGTCTGTCATTGTTTGTTTCTGTGTGTATACCCTCCCCGTGTGTGTCTCTGTGTGTGTCTCTGTGATTCTGCGTGAGTGTGTTTGTCCCTGTCTTCTCTGTGTGTATGCTGTGTGTGTCTGTCATTGTGTGTTTCTATGTGTATACCCTCCCCGTGTGTGTCCCTGTGTGTCCGTGTGATTCTGCGTGTGTGTCTCTGTGATTCTGCATGAGTGTGTTTGTCCCTGTCTTCTCTGTGTGTATGCTGTGTGTGTCTGTCATTGTGTGTTTCCGTGTGTATACCCTCCCCTTGTGTGTGTCTGTCCATCCCTCTGCGTGTACGTGTGCGTGTGCGTACACGCTACGTGTATGTTGCTCTCTGTGTGCGAGCGCACGCGGCGTGTGTGTGTTGCTCCCGGTGTGTGCGAGCGCACGCTGCGTGTGTGTGTTGCATCCGGGTTATTCAGGGGGTCGTGTGCATTTTATGGTCAGGAAGGCAGAGTGAGGGGTCCGTGTTCGTCAGCGGCTCCAACACGGAAATGGGGTGTGACAGAGTGACAGATCAGGAGGTCATGTGTACAGATCAGTCTTGAACCTCTGGTGGTTTTCAACCCCCCTCCGTTACGGAGAGTCACAGTGACTCTCCAGGTTCCCCTGCGACATGGCTGCAAGCCTGCAGCACCCCAGCATATCCAGGTTACTGCTCCGCCGGTTGTGTGGACTCCGGACACTGCCGGACCAGAACCCAGCACTGTCTGGACTGTAGGGGCTCAATCTGGCCGAGCCCCCAGGAGGCCCTTTTTTCCCAAAACTGCTTTCACCCTCCCCACAGGCCTCGTGCCTCGGGGTTTTCCCAGTATTTTTACACAGCGATGCTGCAGGTGGGAGGTGGAGGTCCCAGGTCCCAGTCTACACTGTTTAGGAGAGCCTGTGCCAGCCCTGCCTGACTCCCCTAGAGATGGAGAGATGTATTCCTCTTGGAAATTCCTTCTCGGTGATGCAATGGATCCGCATACCTCTCCTTGAAGCTGCATTCCTATGCAGTTAACTCTCCTGTTTTCTAGTCTTTTACCCGCAGTCCTGATCCCATTTTAAGAAGAGCCATACTGAGCTCAGCAGAGCGCTGCACTGTGTAACTGTGTGTCTCAGCTCTACTGAGCATTGTCCTGGGTAACTGTGTGTCAGAGCTGTACTGAGCACTGCGCTGTGACGCTGTGTGT